TTCAAAATTGTCTCAAATTATGTGTAACAATTTCGAAATATCACTCCTGGTATTTATGCTAAAGATCACTACAAATCATGCTGTTTCCTATACGAATACCGTGAATGATTCTTTGGCGCATTTGTAAAGGCTGTGGCGAATAGTGATGTCAGAAAAAAGGTCGTGTGCTATTAATCAGGAAAAGAAAGATTGGTTGCTTAACAAATCTTTTTTCTTTTTAGCTCTACACAAAGAAGGAGTATTTGAAATGAAGCAGCGAGATCCATACAGAATGACGAACGTCTATATTCTGAAAGGAGTGAAATATTGAGTGTCGAGTTAGCTGGTTAAAAATATATATTCGAATACAACCTTACTCAACAGCCAAAAAATTCGTTTATTGTTCGCCTAAGAGGTTTGGCTTAAGCTTTTTCCGCGGGATAATTAAGGCAGAAAAGTAAACGCAATTGAACGAATTCTTGAACAAAGACGGTTATACTAGCTTACACATTTTAGTGGAGGCATGTAGCTTCCCAAGAATATTCGCATTTCACTGTTCTTATCTTTGGTTGGTGCTGTTTTAATCTTGAAGACATTCTTTCAGTATAAAGTTGCTTCGGCGCAATAAGTGAGCCAGCACAGAGAGGAGAAGTCGTTACGTCAGGTTGCCATGGTAGCAAAGAGATAAACGTCACTTAAAAAGTGAATTTGTGTTGTTTCAAACTTCATAAACCTTATTCATTTAATCTGTCAAATGTTGGCGAAATTTTCTGAGGTTCAATCCAAAACCACCGTATTTAAGTTTAGAAAAAGAAAAAGTAACTTCTTGTGTTGTTTTTACCTACTCCATAAAACGGACGCGTAAAATTGGGACGTTTCGTGCGGCATTCGAGCAACGACGGCTAAGAAAGGAACAAAAAAGCGTCATGCGCGTACAAATTTGTTGTTTTGCTAATAATAGCTATTGCTTAAACTGTAAGCTCCCTATTGTTGTGATCCAAAAATTTTGCTACCATGGTGACGTGACGTCACACTTCTCTCTGTTGTGTTCCCTAGCTGTAATCCTCGGTTTTACTGCTGTACGAGAGTTGAATGGTGTTGCTAATCTACTGGATAGATCTTTACACTAACTCATCTAGTGTTGACATGATTGAGTTAGTTATTCTCTTCCTGTAGATAGTAATATGTGCGTTACATCGCACCATATATCTTCTTTTTTAATCAATGTGACATGCAACTATCATATACACCACCGTTATATATAACTTGTTCTGTCAATGAAAGAAAGGGCCAGTGCTCAGTATGATCCGTGACAATATTATCAGCATAATAATACTCTGATAATAGTATAAACATAATTCACTGATACTTTCTAGCCTTCGTAACCTTGAGAATTCTTTCCTGGTCTATGCCAAGGTACCCACTGGAGTAGTCAGTGGACAACCCTGTTGGTCTCTAACAGACGCTATCAAGTGCCGATATGGATCGTACCATTTTGATTGAGCGGGGGGGAATCTCCTAGATCCACCCACCCTCTTCTGTGCATATAAGCTCAGTCGCAGGATGTATCAAAGACCATACACCTCCAGTTTTGCGCAATTCTTGCCTGAAATCACATTAGAACGATAGGCAATGTTACTTAAACTGATCTGGAATAATTGCTCTATGCGTAGTTTCGAAACGAAACTTCAATTTGCTGTCTTCACAACAATAGGTCGAAGACAAGGAGGTTTCTCCCCAACCAGAACGCATGGTATATACACTTCTCGTTTAATTTTTACTGAAGGACTAAACCTTTTTTATATCCACCTAGAGTTTTATAACCATTACTTATGTGGATAATGTTTTAGTAAAGGAATTTTTTAAGGAGACAGAAAATATTTATAAATTACTTAAAATAATTGTTATGACGCCGGTATAAGGTCTTTACCGAAAATTTCATTTTCATATTGTAATCATTATTTATTGCAAAAAATGCATTCACAAGATTATGAAACTTGTATTTAACTTATAACCCTTAAGATAAAATCTTATATTTCACACGACTACGTAAAACATTACTATTTAAGGGATATTATATTATGGTTTTAGAAAAGCTTATAAATATATTTACGCATACGCTTAGCATACAATATTTTGAAAATGGTCTATCCCGTAGAGAGGATCTTTTGATAAACATTTTCTTCTCTGATTAAATGCATTTTTGTCCTTTGTATCTTTGAGTTTTTACCTTCTGTAATGGGTTCTTAAAACACACTACAAACGTAGTGAAATCGCTTTTGGACTCGCCTGTTTAGCACTTTTTCGAAGCGCGGTCAGAAATTAACAGGCTGCATATCACGAATACATATATAGGCGATTCAATAATACCATGCGGGATGTGGTTTCTCCAGGCCGAACGCTGGGAAGGGACTGTTTAGAGAAATCACTGCGAGCGACCGTTTACATTTCCACCAAGCATCTGCGTCCACGTCACGCCTACGTCTTAAAGTCACACAAATGACATCACTTCGTCTTGTTTTGCGGGAAAAGTTGTCCCGCATAGCGCGCTCGTCTAGGGTTCGGATGGAGCCGGCTTACTAAGGGTCTGTTCCTTTCGGTGAATCCAAAAAATTGACGGATTTTAGATCTTAAAAAAGGATTTCGTAGTCCTTTCGGCAAATCCAAATCCTGGTTTTTTGATCCGGCGAGTCCCCTTTGAAAAAGGATTTACTGGATTTGAAATCCGAAGAATCAAAACCCAGATTAACAAATTAGTGATCTACGCTATTCCATTCACAGAGTGTATCCGAAATTAGTCAGACGATGCCAGTGGTACTTCCAGTTGAAGTTCACGCGTTGAGTTTTCTCGCTCGTCTCAAGTATTCGAGAGACCTTAAGCTGGCTCGACGGGTTTTTTCCGGGTCAATACCACCCGTGTATGGGCGTTAGATACGCCGTAATTAACAAAGGTTTTGAAAAATTACTACCACAGCTGCATTACCTAAAGATGAATATGTATTTGCTGTGATAAGGGTTACAATGTCATAGGAACGATCTCTCATTTTAAACTGGATCGCGTTTACCTGATAAGAGGGGTGACCCACCACGTGTTACCTCACTTATCTGGGGTCGTTAGGTGAACTGTCCCCAGGGCAACAATAGCTAACATTTCTGCCCATTTCAAATGCATTGTTAGTTATTGCTGTTCATGTGACAATGAAAATTGGAGACAATACACATAAATGATGAGGGGCTCTCACTTGTAAACACGAAATTTCCGACAAAAAGTTAGCTAATTGTAGTCGAATGCCCTTGTTCACAATACTTGCCATCTTTGCACGCGCTCTAGGATCGATGGGATAAAAGCTATGTCACGTGGTATTTCAGGGGGCAAACAAGTGATAAATTTGCCAACGCGAGTAATCATACATGACTATAACGATCTCATAGCCATGTAAAATGTGCATATCGAGGTTTGGCAAGCTAGATTTACGTCATTATTGTTTGCCATGATGACATCTACGGTCGCTACTGCATACAAAAAAGTGACAATGATCACTTCCACCCATATTTTAACATTAACGTCTTTAAGATGAAAAGGTCTTCTTTTTCTATTGTATAGGTTAAACAGACTCAACTGTGATTTCTTCCATGTTTGTCCCCCCTAAGAAACCACGTGACATCGCTGTTATCTCATCAGTCCTTAAGCGCGCGCAAAGATGGTGGGTATAGTGAATAAGGGTTGTTTACCATTTATAAAAAAATTCCGGAAATTTTGGTTGGGAATTTTCGTTCGGTAAGAACGGTACGTTTCGTTTACCATTTGCTTAAAATTTCCGGATTGTCGTGCCGCGCTAGACTGGATTCTAGTTACCACATGAAACTCGATTCGGAACATCCAACCCGGATAACGGGACTACCTTTTCAGAATTTCCTTTTTTCCCGGGTATTTTCCAGTGGGACGAGCCAAAAAAACGTTTACCATTTGCATCCCAACCGAAATTTCCTGGAATTTGTGGTAAATGGTAAACAACCAAGGTCTACTGTTGTCGTTTCTTTAGCAAAAAGTTTTCTTTCAATTATTTTTTATCATAGCGATCGCCTAGAAACGCAAAAACCCCACTGCGAATTGCAAGTATTTATTGCTTCGCCCTGTGAAACGTTTTCCCTTCCGCTTGATGGTACAACTGCTTCTCTTCTTACTATCAAAGAGTCATGAACCACCTGCAGATTTGTTGGCCAGTGCCAAGAAAGCTACTTGGAACTATGACATGAACCATCGCTGATGATAGAGGGTCCTCATAGGATTTTCGGGACACGGGATTTCCCCTATTTGAAGCTGGGGATTCGGGATTTTAAAGCGAAATCGTAGCGAGATTCGGGATTGAAAGTATGCGCGGGAGGTGGAATGACAAAAATAACCCTCGGGATTACCCGAAGTTTTGCGTCGGGATTACTGGATTGAAGAACTCTGTTGTGGACCCACACGATAGTAACAGCATGTAGAACAAAGATCAACAAACTCCAGTTGTTCAGTGTTTTCATGTTAATATCACGTCTATATAAGTCAGACTGTTAGGAAAGAGTTGATATTTGATCAGTTAAAAGAAAAATCTGAGATCTAAATACTTACTTTCAGAGGGTCACATTCCCACTCAGAATAAAGGAAACACCTATTAGCTGCTTCAATAGGTCATTTCCGGGTTCCAAAACTCTCACTTTCAAAACGAGGTTAAGTGCAAGTGTTGATTGTTCTTTGCATTAGAATGAAATCAATAGTCATTTTCATATCAATGGCTTTACAGCTAGCCTCGTTTTGAAAAAGAGGTTTGGGGCAACTCCGAAATAGCCTATTTTTCAAACCTTTTCTGGGGGAGCATCCACCCAGATCCAAGACCACCCCCGGCTTCTCAAAGAAGGTGACCCCTGTAGCGTCACAAAATATGGCTATGCAGTCAAAAAACCCCACCCCTTGCTAGCAAATCACCTTGAAAGTTGTGTAATAATGACAGGGAGGTTTATCATTCGAGGACTTTTTGATGATTAGAAAATTTGTGGCGACTTTTGTTGGGTGAACTGATTGTTATGCAGAGAAAAAGAGGATATATTTTGGATTACCTCTTGGATCATTAAAAACTTTTCTGGTCTTTGTCTCAGCCTAACTCGTGAGACTTATGGGGCAGGAGGCATCAAATAAACAATTTAGTAGCCTTTGCAGCTGTTTTTTTTTGTTTTTTTTTTTGCGAACGTGCAAACAAATTAGCGGCAAAGCTAGACTGCAAAATAGTCCTTAATTTTTGCGTATTCAAGTACGCGCGAGCAGTCAAACAAAAGGTCTGGAACGAGGCTGAAAACAGAGACCGAGACTGGGGAGAGACGCTAAAAATACGAAGCTATAGAAAATGGAAACCTATGGATCCCGAAAAAATATTTATTATGACGTCAGCAAACGCCAGAACGACCGTCCAGCTTAGTTTGTTTGCACACGCCCCCACAAAAAATTGGACTGCCGGCTTTGCAGCTACATTTATACATCCTAACCACCATCACATCCAAGTACCCTTATCTGGGCTTAAAGTTGTTCATGTATTGATATTAGATCTTTTTATATTAAAATGTTCCATATATTTTGCTAATTCTTTCAAACATTATAGTCCGCGGGCTTTTCTTGTAGTTGCCTTTTGCTTGTTTGATATAACACAATAGAAGCGACGGTCACATGAAAGAGAATCTGCCAGATGTTACGAAGACCTCGCAGCCAATAGATACATAGCAGCAACAAGACTAGGGATAACCTGGCTAATAACATTCTCCATCTCACTGAGAATAGAAGAAGGTAAAGCTGTAAATTAAAAGAAATAAAATGATTAGACAACAATAATGTGTACAATCGTACAAACGAATTACAGATAGCTGGCTGTCTAATCCAGGCCCCGGTTGTTCAAAAGTTGGATAGCGCTATCCGCCGGATAAAACGCTTTCCAAATGGATGAGTATTACGAAAACTAATTGCGTTATCCACTGGATAGTGATTTATCCAGTGGATAGCGCTATCAGGCAAAATCCCTTTGGAAAATTTGATAGCCTGCGAGCAAGCTCTCCTATTTGGGCGAGCGAAGCGAGCCGCGCGAGAACGCGCGAGCGAGCGGCGAAGCCGCGAGAGTCGCGTCTACTCTCGCGTGCCTCTCGCGCGTGTACTTTTCACGATATCCCCCAAATGGAGAGCTTGCTCGCAGGCTAAAAATTTGATGTCAATTAAAACTTTCTCAAACCATGTATTGAACGCTAAAATAAACTGACAATTGATAATTTTCTACTAAAGTAAGACGTTGTTTGTTCAGCTGGAAAAGGTCATTAAGTTTTTCTTACTTCGAAGACATATTAAATTCGGCAAGCGCAATACTGCAATGCTGGTCGTTCTACGTGAAAATAAACTTTGCAAGACATCAACAGTCCATTGTGGTTAATGTTCGTATTTTCTTACTTTGTTGACGGCAATGAAATCCTGTTGTTTGCCAAATTCTAGCGTTCAGATTGCACTAGGTTGCATCCTAGTGTACTTAAATTTTCAAAATTTCCCTGGGGAACATGCCCACGGACCCCCCTAGTTTCTCGTACCTTCGGCGCTCATCACTGGAGCTATCGCGTCAATAACTGAGATACACTTCTTAGTTGTGCCCCACCAAGTAAAAATTCCCGGCGCCGCCCCTGCTTTTTTTGGCTCTTGTTTCACCTGCTGAGAAAAGGGCGCTTGCGATCCCGAGCTGGGAAACAATTTCCGTGACGTTAGAATTTTTTTAATCAATCATAAGTCAGCTCTTATATTTTTGTGGAGCTAAGACGCCTGGGGTTTGCGTGGGAATCTAGAGTTTGATCTGGTCTGTCTGATCCAGCTTTTGTCAATGGCCCAGTCCACCTTTATTTATCAGCATGTAAAACTTTAAAAAGTGACAAGTTGAGTAGCTTTCAAAACACTGACTATTGCTGATAAAAATCCTATTCACACCTTCTTGAGCACTTGCTGTGTTAATTAAATATTTTTTAAAAAACTAATTTCAATGGACGTTTGATTCAATTTCATAGCTAGTGATCTTAATGGTTGAATTTGGTTAAATTGCAAGAATTAAACTGTTTCAACCCACTGTGTAGCCTGTGTAGTAGGCGCTAGGAAATAATGGGTACAAGAAAGAACAGGCACACACGTGGGAGACACGTGTCCCTCTTCCTACACGTGTCTCCCTCGCGCGCGCCCACACGTGGGAGACACGTGTCCCTCTTCCTACGCGTGTCTGCCTCGCGCACGCTCATTCTTTCTTGCGCCCATTAAAAAGGCTGCAAAGTGGGTTGAAACAGTTCCTTGCAATTTGCAATTCCTTGCAAATGTTGGAATATGAACTACAGTTCGTACCTGACAACAATTAAGAATGCCAGCCAGAAAAAACCCAGAGGCTGAGAACCATGTATCATTTGCCTAAAAAAAAATTAAAACAACAAATTAAAATCTTGGAAGTTGGAGTGGAACAGTTAATTGTCTTTTATTTCACTGTCAATGAAGAAATTGTAGATAACAGGGAACTGAATTAACAATGGCATGGGGAAAAAAAACAGAATGAGAAGTAAGCTAATGTTAAGATGTACTCTTTATAGCAGCTATTTTGTCTTCTGTTTATATTCCATATGGCCGTTTCAATCAAATTCATTCATTTTTAATTGTACATTGAGAACAAAAGTTAACATAAATTGTAATTCCTGGATTACCTCATTTCCTAACCCTCATTAATTATAATTTTTACAAAGGTTTTTAATGATTTACTTTGTTTTCAGTTCTACGTTGTTTTGTGGTGTGCAGTGGGATATTTTAGCATTTTGGAAGGACTTGAGATAAAAGACTAACAAAATGTTGAATGTCTCAGTATGTACATAATAAACACAAATCCACATGGAAAGTACTTTGTACAGTATATTCACGCACTCCTACTCATTCACTGCAAAATCTCACTCATTCTTCAGATACGTCAACAACCCGTGTGCATAAACCGTACACACATACTTTCTATAAACTTTACTGCATATTCTTACCTCTTCATCAATAACAATAACATTTAAAAATGGGATGCATCTAAGAAAGTTAAGTAGTGCACAGATGCCTGCTAAGACACAGATCATAAGACTCTGCCACGTCAAGGGTTCCAGCCGCCTTGATGGTCCTGCAAGAAATTTTCATTTATTCATGCTGGTATTTAATGCCCTTTTATCTATGATGGGCGAAAAAATTGTATGTTTTGCCCTCAATTAAAAGGTCTTTCTGACATTGTGCTGACTTCAAAAAGGGAATGAAGCTATCCCTCCCCAACCCCCTCCACGCAATGTTATGCCAGTGTGAATGTGGACTCTTATCCTACAGCTGTAGTTACCACATTTGAGGACAGTTTCTCAACAATTTTGTCGCTGGTTTTAGCTAGCGGTGCATAAATTAACGTCAGGCATGGTAAAGGCTGCTCTTACTAATGCCTTTGCCATTATGGTCTCAGATAACACAGAATGTCTTTGCCTTTGTCAAAGGTGATATAACATTGCTGCACATCAAAGTAAGAATAATTCAATTTGTCGTCAAATAAAAGTAAAGCATGATCATACCTCCCGTTTTATAGGTCTTCATATCTGCACTGTTATCTGGTCCCAGTTCTGTTTGTGAAATTTGAAATGGAGGATTATTGTGCAGGTCTTCGCTCATCTCACTTAAGTTGAGCCGTGAGGTCAATGTTCTCGTGTTATTGTATCTTTGTTTGGTTCTTTGGATGAATGAGTCTGAGAAAAGATTAAAAAAAAAAGTGAAATAATATTTAGTTAGTAATTTAACAAGTCTGTAAAATAAAAAAAATGCTTACCAAACTCCACAAATGAATAAGGCCGCCTTGCTTTCTGGACATCATGGCTCTGAAATGTTATGGTGAATTCACGTTGAAGCTCCTCAAGAAAACTAAACACTAAAACTGCAGGGTATGATCCTTCGCAAACAGCCATAAAACAAACTCCAACTGCTTTAACAAAACTGAAAGGAAAGCATCAATAAATACATTGTACATGTTACAAATGATTATGTTACCAAAAATTATGCAATAAATTTTAGTTGTTAAAATGTTAGGAGCATGAGAAGAGGGAGGAAAATCGAATGACTAATAAGGTTTTTGCTGTTCATTAAGTAACTGGTTCTTCCTCTGTTTGGAATTGCATTGCTTTTTTTGCACAAATATTCTTTCTTTACAAAAGATGAGATGAAAGTTAAGTCACTTTTTAAGTTACTATTGAGGCCAAACAATGCCAGCTGGAGCATTGTATTACCGAGAAAAAAATTAATATAATATTTATCATGATGCATTGGAACAAAATTTATCTTGGTTCAAGTTTATTTTCTTTTTACCAGGGAATAGTAAGGACTATGAAAATGCACTTTAAGAAAATAAAATAAAAATGTGAACCAAGGTTTGAGTGGAACCTTAACTTGAGTTTTGTAAGATTTTGATGATAATGGTGATGATGATGATGATGACACTGATAAGAATGAGAATGAGAATGAAAACACTCTGTGGCATTATTAATGAATGCTGGATAAAGGTCAAACACCCTCACTGGGTTTTGCTTTTTAGATCTTCGTCGCAGAAGCAGCCAAACCTGTGATTATTTTCATATCCTGATCTCAGAGATTTTCTTTCTTTAAATAGGAGGCAGAACCAGAAGAAAACCTAAGGAAAACCTTACTGTCACTGGTTCATGACTCAATATTGTTGAATAGGTAAGAAGAAAGCAACCTCTGTAATCAGGATACAGGACTATTTTTTTCTTTCTTGGAGGTAGGGGGGTGGGGCAAAGGGGCACTTGTTTAGCTCATCAGCCAATGAAAAGAAAAGGAAGCTGTTGAAACTGTCAGCACCATTAAAATGTTAAGACTGGCTATGTTTTGAGAACATTTAAATCGAGAAGAAAGGAATTATTTGAACGTTAAGTATTGGGTACCTACAATCTCAGTCAAAATGGTTGGGACAGGTTGGGGTCTCCTTGTCGCCTCAATGTTGGTGCACAAGATTTGGTGACCAAACCGCGATAAACAACTTTGAGAGGGAGGAGGGGAGCACGAGAAGGAAAAAAAAAGCGTTTGGTTAAAGTGTCCCAACTATTTTTGTCTGAGACTGTAGGTGGTTGGTTTTTCCCAGTTAGCTTGGCAATGGAGGGCTTGCTTATAAACTATGAAGTTGCAATCAAGCCAAATGAGCCAATGCATTTGCATTGACCCTGCATTCTGTAGTTTAGTCAGTGGTAGGTCCAGAGCAAGGGGTATAGAAAGGTAAATTTGAGACTTTAAGAAAATGCCAGACCCTGCAGGTTTCAAAATTCGAGAAAGAGGACAAGACTGAGACTTAAGTGTTTTTAACAATCTGAACCTGAGATTTTACTTCTAAAAAATGTGAGCCCAAGACTCTTGCAAATTGTGTGTCGCAAATTTTGAGATAATGGTACAAATAAAGCTACATAAAATGACCGAAAACACCAAGCTAGCGAAAGCCCACCAACATGCCTCTACTTCAAGCCCCAAGCAGTGTTTGAAATCACTTGAGTTTTCTAATTTAACAACTTCCTGATGTTATTACACAAATTAAATAAGATATTTCATGCAAATTGTACATGAATTTCCGACTGCTGGGCATCAAGTATTTTGAAAACTGTACCTGTGATTCAAGATTCTAAAGAATATACTTAATGCAAGCTCAGAGAATCCACAACAATACGAAAGATTTATAATCGCTTGGCATTTCTTAAAAAACACTGAATACTCTGGTGAGGTTTCATTGATAATTTCTGTGGATGTTCATCGAGAGCTGACTCAGTGTGTCAGAACTTGAATACTTTCTAAGTGTCGAAAACATTGAGATTTCACTCTATGCCCAAGCTCGACAGTCGCTTCTACTTTTAACCAAAGGCTTTATTTATACAATTGCTTGAGATGCCTAAACAAATATCTTATGTTCTTAGAGGAATTAAACGAGCTATTTCAAGAAAATTGGTCAAAATTTCTGACTGCCCGGTAAGTTCTTTGAAAACAGTTCACAGCTGCCGGGTATCTAGACACTTTCTATTTTCTAACAAGGAGATTATTAGCTTTGATCCTGAAACAATGGGTTCTTTTGTTTCACTGGTTGGCACATTTGAATAACAAAAACAATGTTTACAAACAAGAAATATCTCTATACTACTGCTAGTAATAACTATTATAGAGAGTATGAGCTCAATTAATAAAATAAAATTCATGAAATTTTTTACGAACAAGATTTCCGTGTATTACCCCACACATAAAATATGCACACATGTACGTCAGTCATTAAGAAAGTTAAAAGATCTTACTATATTGAGTGATTTCCACATTTCATGGTACATCTGGTAGGGTACTGATTTGCCTTTCTAGCCAGCGTCTTGGCGTACTTCTTGCTTTCTTTTAGTTCAAAGTGCATATCGAGATCCGTGGAAGCCGACAGCGCCATTCCGTCCGACACTCGAGTGATCATCGCGAAAAGAACCATTTTGGATTAACAAAACAAAACCAAAAGATCCCTGCAGCAATAAATGTAACAATTCACTCGTCTCTATGCTCTTATCAATCAACAGACCACTCTTTCTTTACAGTGTTTTGCCCGCCATTCCAGTCTTTGTTTTTCGGCCATATTGGATTTCATTGATCCCCCACAGGCTACCCATCCCAGGTTGACACGGCACAACAACCGTTATGACCTAGAAGTTATTGAAAGTCAGTTTTGTTTTTGCCTTCCCAATAAACATTTTAATATTAACAGATCAAGAAAGATCAAGAAATAGTCTCTCATGTGCCGGGAAATAAAAAATGGCCGAGAATTTTCTTGAAAGTGGGGAGCCTGTGAGACCTGTAAAATGTTCAGTGGTATTCAATTTTAGTTTATGCGCAATAGCGACAGCCCTCGGGACGTTATACGTATGTCTTACATGACGTCTTGGTCATCTGGTGACGACGTGCACACGGAAGCTGGCAGAAGATGGTTTATACATTGATGTCTGCATGGTCTGCAGTGATGTAAAAAAGTTTATGAAAAAACCTTACATTGTGTCTGTTTTAGACGACAATTCACAATGTCAGAACTTGAACCAGCCTCCACTAGCGCTCCTACGAATTCAACCTCTACAGAGACAACTCAAAACGCTTCAGAAATCCCTGGGAAATCAGAGAATCAACAGCACCTGTACATGGACTTCGCAAGCGATGTTCCTCCAGTTTTGCCGACTGATTCACAATTGGGAGGAGATGGAATTAAACCAGATAGTCAAGTAGTGCGAAAGGTAGATCCTCGCCAACAATGGATAAACAAAGACTCGACAAAACCTTACTATTGTAAGCTTTGTGACTTCAATATGGAGTCCATGGAGGTTGGTGCATTCTAGGAAATCTTTCATTTTAGCTTGTTAATTTTTGTGTAGAGACAAGTTCACTTCTTTTACTTAAGTACAGAGTGAGTTATCAACAGTCATGTAGAACTGAAAATATAAAGATTTTAAAGATTTTTGCTGAAAGGAAAAGGACCATAATGTGGTATTTATTTAGGAAATTGCTCCTTAATTAATTTTGTGTAAAGAAGAGACAGAATAATATTATAAGAGAGTTGTTTTATTTTGCCTCCACTACACGACCGAACAAACAAAACAACACTTGGAGGCATGGGCACGTTGGTCAGCCCGGGCCATGATACACTTTATTAACTCACGTGAAAAACTCCACTGTTACAGTGATTCTAAGAACATGCTACAGCCGGACAAGTAAACCCGAAAAAACCAGCTATTGGAATAATAGGGGTCATGTAACCCCAACCCATGCTATGGTATCTCCTTTGGGGTTATAAGGCAAAACTAATAAAATAAGCCTAATAACATGAAGACGAGCAGAAAACGAGATGCTACATAAAATAGCTAAGAAACATAGTACAGATGGTAACGAAATTAAGGCTAACATAATAAGTGAAAACTAAACTAAACAAAGCAAGTTGATGCGGTGAGGCTGACCGTAGAATGACACGCATAGCTAAACGGTCACTATATCAAACCCCCTAACCGTGATCCCTCGGGTGCTATGCTAGAACCCAGTTCTAGTTCCATGGATTAGTCATGATAATTAAGGTGACTCCATAGTTATAAATAAAAGCAACTCTCTTTGGGGTTCAATTCTTTGGGTCTTAATTGCCTAGACCAAGGTGATATACACCTCTACCAACTTGTGGTTGGGAAAAGAAAATAATTTGTTTATTGTGTCTCACTTGCTAGCCAGCTATAGCTTGCATAAATATATAAAACATGGGTCTGGCACTGAATTTCTGTCCCCAAAAAAACTTAAGATAGATTTACGCTGCAACTTTAATTAGCAAATACTTTCTGTTTGTTTTAGAATGTACTTGACAGTTACCTCGCCCTACACCCTGCCAATCAAACTATTTCCTGATTAAGATCTGTAGATAACAGCTGAATCATGGCAATCATTAACAAATTGACCCTCAAAGAAAAAATGGTAAATTGGTCTATCACACAGAAACCAAGACGAATAACATTTTTTACATTTGGGTCTTGTTTTTTAGAATTGATGTATTATTCGTTCCTCTTAGGTGTTTCAACATCACTGTATGAGTCCACGACATATTAAACGAGCTATTGAAGAGTTCAACATCAAATTACCAAAGAGATTGGAAGAAAAAGAAGAAAAGAAACCACCTCCTGAATTTCACTGTCAGGTTAATAAATCTTCTAAGCTTGCACAATATTAATTTAATGCACCATTTTATTCCAAGGAGATGGTGGAGACGTGTAACTGTGATCCAACTCATGAGTCTTAAAACCAACTTCTATTTAGCAATGAATCAATAAAGATTCAGTTTAAAGTCAAGTATTGTTTTACAATGAAAGACAAAATGACTTTGCTTTTAATATGTTTAAACCTTGAGTGTTAAGTACCGGTAAATGGCAAATAATTTTCTACAAGTGGAGGCAGCAATGTTACTGGCTACCGACCCAGTCTCTTTAGCATTGCCTTTCCATGGTGCTTTGTTTTCTAGTGTACTTGTACATTATTTTTCCACTTGAATTCTACCTTTAAAGCCACCACTACTTCAGAGGGGCTCAATGGAGTTCATTTCTTTCTTTTCAAAGATTTTTTGTAGAGACATGTATTGTACCATTTTAACTTTAGAGTTAAGTGTGAGAAAAAGAATTAACCATCTCCAAAGTTAGAACAACAATGATAAAAATTATTGTTCTTATTGTATCATGCTAGAAACATACATGTACAGTTATGTACATGTAAATCCTCATGCAAGAGTTTTGGTAGATACACTTTCAATTTTATAAAAAAATGATGGCCTTGAGATTTTTGGATAGAAAATTAACAATAACTATGCAGATAACAAGTTTATGCTTTATTGGAATTCTTTGTTCAAAAAGTAACTAAGAAAAACTAATCAATGGTAATTTTTGTTATTTATTGTCACTCAATCATGCTAATTGGAATTTTAGCTTTAGCAGGTGTAACATTGTTATTATTATTATTATTATTATTATTATTATTATTATTATCATTATTAAGCCATGCCATGTTCTCAAATTGGAATTCTTTTGATTATTATTACCATATAAATTTTCCACTTTCTAATCCTTAAAGTATTCCATCATGATCTCTGTATATGAACAGAGTTTATCAATAATTTTGTATTATTTTAATACATGCATTCTAGGTGTGCCTTGTGACATGCAACAGTGACACTGCTTGGAACTCTCATCTTCTTGGGCAAAAGCATAGAAAGGTACATAAAATACAGTTAAAGTTGTAATTTTTCTTTAATTTCACACCCATAGTTGAGCATTAGGGTAAAGATTGGGCCTTGCATATTTTCTAACATTTTTAATTACTAACTCGCCAATCATTGTCATTATTCTTGCTCTGCCTGCTGTTTCACCATCCATCATTGATTCAATTCAAAGGATAAGGAATTTCTCCACATTCTTGTGAAAGAGTCTTATTAGATTGCATAAATCTCAGTCTTTTTTTTACAGTGATTCTTTTCTTTTTGTTTGGTTGGTTGCTTTTGTTTTGTTTTGTTTTTTTAAATAATTATCTTTCTTTAGTGACCACTAAGGGTTGCTTAAAATGAGATCCTACAGGTTCTTGTCTAATAAATTATTAAGTTGTTTTGTTTATTTTTCAAGGAACCCTTTCGATTGATTAAACATATACAATATCATTTGTTGCATTTTCAGCTGCTTGAGAAACAAGGGGCAGAGAGAGCCCTGCAAAAAGCTCAAGAAAAAAGCATGTTGTTCAACAATATGAATACAGGATTTGGCCGGGGTGCTGGTAGAGGGGCTCCTGGGAGAGGTGGTGGTGTGGGCCCCATNAGTCTTATTAGATTGCATAAATCTCAGTCTTTTTTTTACAGTGATTCTTTTCTTTTTGTTTGGTTGGTTGCTTTTGTTTTGTTTTGTTTTTTTAAATAATTATCTTTCTTTAGTGACCACTAAGGGTTGCTTAAAATGAGATCCTACAGGTTCTTGTCTAATAAATTATTAAGTTGTTTTGTTTATTTTTCAAGGAACCCTTTCGATTGATTAAACATATACAATATCATTTGTTGCATTTTCAGCTGCTTGAGAAACAAGGGGCAGAGAGAGCCCTGCAAAAAGCTCAAGAAAAAAGCATGTTGTTCAACAATATGAATACAGGATTTGGCCGGGGTGCTGGTAGAGGGGCTCCTGGGAGAGGTGGTGGTGTGGGCCCCATAAAAGGAGGATCCTATAATCCTGGACACATGCGTAAACCCTATGAGAAGCCTATGCATGCTGTGCAACAACCAAGTCCCAGTGGTCCGATTGGTGCAAGAGACTTTGCTACCTACCCAGAACCCCTTATAGGTGAGTTATGCATAATTTCTACAGCAACTCGGTATTGCAATGCTTTGCTCAAAAGTAAAATTATAATGGTAACAAGCACTACATGTAGCTTGTTGCCTTAATGATTACAGTTGTCATCAAGTCGAGACCAGCTTAATATACCCTGTAAATCATACCAATTCCGGGCTGTGCTCTAAGTAGTAGTGCCCAATGATCTTTGGCAATTTACTTTTTCCCTTGGGCAACGAGGATACATGTATTTGAGTAGGTGGAATGCGATGTATGATCATGTGATATGGTAGTCCCGAATAGGATTGATGTTGACAGTGACTTTAACTTTTTTGACAACCTGTCCAGTAGTCATCATCAGAGTCAATAATTACCATGCAGGTTGTTAGAAGGTCCATCACTGTCAACACAGTCCTATTTAGGAGTACGCCCACCTGGAGAGTTATAATCCACTTACTTGTGAAAATAATAACTCCTGAGTTCAAACCAAATGCAGGGCTTGAAAAAAAGTGCCGTCTGGTAGTCCTAGACTACTAGATTTCCCTGCCTGGCAAGTGATTCTGCATACTCACTTGCCCTGGTTCAGGCAAATCATATTCTGCTAAATACTGTAACAAACAAAAGCATGCAATTCAATGACCTGGGGAAAGCTAAACATGAAAACAGCTTCTCCAAAGGACAAGCTGGAATTGAGTTTTTTTAAGCCCTGCAATTTCCATTGAGCATTCAATTACAGTACACTGTATGTTCATTGTGTATTCAATGCTATATACATGTAATGTGAATAGTTCAAATTTGAACTTTGTCTTTGTTAGTCATCATTGCATGTAGCATAACAATATTTTACATGTTCTGGATGACTCTCTTACTGTACAAGCAATCTCTGGCAGACAGTGACCATCCTTGGTGTCTATCTGCAGGGGTTTCAATAAAAATTGAAGTAGCCAGCAGGTTTGAATAGAGTAACCGACAGTATCAACAAGGGGCCATTAGCCCCCCCTTTTGAGGGGGTTGAGGAGGAGGTCTGGGCATGTTCTACCCCAGAAAATTTTAAAATTTCAAAGTCCTAAAATGCAATTTTCAGCATTCTGGGGACTAAATTTGAGGACAAAAGAGTGTGTATTTCATTCAAGAAAATGTTAATCTTTCAATTTGTCAGTTTCACAATCAATTCCTGATGATGAAAACTAAATTACGTACTTTTGCATGTAAACAAATTCTGTGTAAACATAATTTATAAAGAAACTTGTGGAAAAATGACTGAAATATAGGGTTCACATGACTAAAGCAATGTAAAACCAGTGGGCCTTCATGAAAAAAACATCATAATTATGTTTTATTCAGATTTTGTGATATTTTTTTTCTTTACAATGCTAATTAAACTAGTTGCTTCTTCTTTCTAGAAGAAAGTAGCTGACCTCTATCAGCCAAGTAGGCGACACATTTTGTCGGCCGTCAGTGCTTATTGAAACCCCTGTATTGATTTTGGGACTGGGTAGAGACAGCACTTTGCTTGTCCATTCCCATCAGGCTGGTCTGTGCCTACGTAAAGCTCATTAGAAGAAATAACCAATTACATGTACTTTAAAATGATTTTAGGATGGAATCCATCAGGAAATTGAGCAATGTCATCTTTCAGTGGACGAAAACCTAGTACCAGAATAATTTAAACAATATCGCATTTTTTAATATTTTTCAAGGGCTATAGATATAATTAGTTATCTGTAATAACACCAAAGACTATTTCTCATGAGAGCCTCAAATTTCACAAGAATTGTGAAAACACAGGTAAAATTTTGAAAATTTCATGTGTAAGATGTCATTTTGTGAAATTTGACATTTATTTTCTCGGGCTCCCATAATAAATTTTTCGTTGATGTTTGACAGATAACTAATAATTAGTTATAAACATCAAAGAAAATTTATTATGGGAGCCCGAGAAAATTAAATGTCAAATTTTGCCCTTGAAAAATGAGAAAAAATTATAATGTGATATTGTTTAAATTATTCTAGGACAAGGTTTTTGTCCTCTGAAAATTAAAATTGCTTAGTTTCGTGATGGATTGTGTTGTAATCCACTGTATGTGGAAATGCTGACTATGTTGGTTGGTAATAAAGATACCTTGTCATCTTGAAAAAGTGGTTTTTGTACATTAATGTGTGCTTTTCTAAAGTACATGACTGTACAAAAGTCTCACTGCACTAATAACTACAGTAGTCGCTTATTCAATTTTGCTGTTACCATACCCCAAGCCAAGCCCAACCTGGTAATCATAGGGTTGGGGCTAAGGATACCCACAACATAACTAGCATTAGTTTCTTGTGTGTTATATGGGAGCCATATTCACCATTATTTAATGTACCACTCTAAACTTGGTACAAGAGTAGAACAGTACTACATGCATTTCTAAAAAAGTGATTGTACAGTAGCCTATATGGCTGTTATAACCATGAATGGCTCTGTTAAGCTCAAGAGGTATAATGTATGTAGGCTTGTACCAGTAACACTCAAACAAAGCTAAGACTTCTTTGAATCCCTTCTCAGGGATGTGCCCAAGGGGTAGATGGTAACAGAAAGGACTGAAGGCACTTATCCTGTGAAAGACAGATACACTCCAGAATGTTTGATGACAGTTATTACTGTGTTAAGCTGTGTATAATCATGTAAAACATGGTAGCTAAAATTTTGAGTCAAGATTAAGGAGAAAGAAAACATACACAGGCAAATACAGTAACTTGATTAAGGAAGTTGATACATGTAGCTGATGTGAAAGTGCATGGCAAGATGTCTTGCAGTTGTTTAGGTGTAAATGCTCACTCTTTGTGGTACATTTCCACCTTTTCACAATCTGGAGTGTTATGCCACTTGTTCTGTTGCTGTAGGCCTGGAGTATGTTACAGAATAGGTCCAATATCCTGTCTCGGGCTCCATGGTGACGCTCGACACACTGAGGTTTAAACTAGTGAACTTGAAGTTCCCTCACCTTGTTGGAAGCAAACATCGTTTCAATGTGCTGGTGAGTAGACAAGACCTATGAGATGTTTGTACCCATTAAAATGTGACAAATGCCTTAAGGTGGCTATGCCATTCTATTTGCTGTCTTTTTAGAAAGCAAACGTTTTTCACATCAGTTGAATTCCAAAAGTAATGGTGTAGTAGTGTTCAGGGCTGTCATTAAGAGCCGGGGCGGGGATTTCCCCCAGCTATCATAAATGCGGTACCCTGTTACTTTCATTGGAATAATGAAGAAAAATAAGACCAGAAGAAATCCCTAGCTGTTTGATTCCCCTCATACTTACTGTATTTACGCGGCAACTTGAAATCTTAGTGACAACCCTGTCGTGTTGTTATCCAAGACTATATTTAAGCACTGAATCTGTTTCCTGTCATTTGTTGCAACAATGACAAGAATGGACATGGATTAAAACTTGAAAAAGTTGGGCAATGTTTTCAAGTTTTAACACCCTTTCTGCAAAAATCACCAAAGAACTTATTATGGTTAGTGCTCCCTGGTGAAATTTGTTTGATATCTTATTCATAACTCTACTGGGGCATTTTGTATACCGGTAAAGGCAATAAGCATTGACTGCAGAACAGAATTGCCCTAAAACAGCAGTATCTTTCTTTTAGAGACTGGCAAAATTATTTACAACAAACAGAGTTCAATTCAGCACCATTACAATGTACAGTGTATATACAACATCTGAATCAAGTGCTGTATTTAATTTGAGTCTGCTAAAAATAGGAGCCGAAATTCAACTTCTGAGGCCCGTAATCACAGCTTTGCACTTCCTTCCAATATCAAGTAGTTAAGACGGAATCCATCAGGAAATTGAGTAATATTAATTAATTTTCAGTGGACAAAAACCTTGTACCAGGATATTTTAAGCCATATCTTATTCTTTTTTGCCCTTTTTAAGTGCTGTAGATGTAATTAGGTTTCTGTAATAATGCCAAAGACAATTTCTTATGGGAGCCCGAGAAAATAAATTTCAAATTCTGCTGGAATTGAGAAAACATAGGGAAAATTCATTTTGTTAACCTTGAATCTTTTGAAGTTTGTTTTTTTGGGCTCCCATGAAATCCTTTTCTTTGAGGCTATTTCATATAACTTATTACATTTATAGCCCTTGAAAAGTGTATAAAAGAATGCAATATGCTTGAGATTATTCTGGTACAAGCTTTTTGTCTACTGAAAATTAAAATTACTCAATTTTCTTACGGATTCTGTCTTAAAACCTTTTTTCAAATTTATTGTGACAATTCATTTCCAAAGACATGTTTGAGCGCTGAAGGAAGTTTTTGAATGTTTTCTTTATAATTATTCACCTTTTCTGAGTAAAATATTCCATTTTGAAATGGGGTTAAAGAGGTCATGAAGTTCAATGATTGTTTGCATGGGATTTCCTGAGAATCTGAAGTCAAGTTACTTCAATTAAAGTGTATCTTAAATGGTGATGAATTGTCAACTTCACAAAATGATGAAAGATGGTTATGTTAGAATTTTACGGGTACATTCTGGGCTTACAACATCTGTCCGATTTTACATTGATGTGTGAAAAGTTTCCTGTAGAATTGACAGGACTGGTTTTACTGATCAATGGATGAAGAATGGAAAAGAAAGAGTTGTGCCCATGTACATTTTTGTTGCCCACAAGCTTACAGCTTTAGATCCCTCTGACTTGGACATAAACAATCTTTTGTTTAGTTTCTGAAGTTTACCTTGGCTCACTAACTTTTCAGATGTCAATAATTCTGGTTTTCCCATGTAGAATACAATAAAAAAAAGACTTTGCACTAGAGAGTTTTTTTACAGGTCAAATTCAGGTTAATTTTTTACAACTTAAATTTAATAGGTTGATTCTTGATTTCATCTGTCTCCTAGCCCTAATATTATTCATGAATTAGGGCTAGCAGACAAAGAAAATTGAGAATCAACCCGGGTTAAAAAATTTTAACCTGAAGATAGTTTTGACCTGTGACATTTACACAATAGACCTGTGTCACTCAGTGGCCATTTTGTCTCAGGAGGTTTAAAAAGCTTTGCTTATGCACGGCTAGCCTCGTTCTCTCTATGAGGCTAGCCGTGTATAATCAAAGCTTTCGAAATCTCCTGAGACAAAATGGCTGCCGCGTGACAATGGTGTAGTACAGGTGAGCCCAGTTTGCATTGTGACCTGTAGACCTTTCCCTTTTCTTTCAAAATGGCATTTTTTACTTAAAAGTGCAAAACATCAGGTCCGGGTTGTTCAAATGTGGGATAGCGCTATCCACCAGATAAATCACTATCAAGTGGATACATGTAAATATTGGGGAAACCAATTGCGCTCTCCACTGGATAGAGATTTATCCAGTGGAGAGCATTATCCACCATTTGAACAACTAGGGTCAGACATTCTGTGATTACAAGACTGGTGTTGAAAGTACTTACCTATGGCCATCATGGCTCAGATGTAAACCTTGGTCTGGCTCTCTCTTTACTCAAAGGGGATAAGTCATGCTATCTTTATAAATAGTTAAATGGTTTTAACATGTATTGAAGTCCAATGGTCTTGTTATATTTGAGGCATTGAAACTGTTTATTTTCATCCTCTGCTACTGGTGACAGGTGAACATGGACTGAAATTTGCAAACAGTGGGCCAATATTTTGTTTTAATGGTGGGCCAGCAAAAATCACCAAAACATTATTATTTTAAGNATTACAAGACTGGTGTTGAAAGTACTTACCTATGGCCATCATGGCTCAGATGTAAACCTTGGTCTGGCTCTCTCTTTACTCAAAGGGGATAAGTCATGCTATCTTTATAAATAGTTAAATGGTTTTAACATGTATTGAAGTCCAATGGTCTTGTTATATTTGAGGCATTGAAACTGTTTATTTTCATCCTCTGCTACTGGTGACAGGTGAACATGGACTGAAATTTGCAAACAGTGGGCCAATATTTTGTTTTAATGGTGGGCCAGCAAAAATCACCAAAACATTATTATTTTAAGTGTTCCCTGAAGAAATTTGTCTTATGTTGTCATAAATCTACAACAGCATTTTGTATATGGGTAGCTTTTACATGCAAAATAACTGCAAGTAAACCTACTCTGGAGCAGCTTGATCATTATTCAGTGGGAAAGCAAATCAAGAGAACAAGAAAGTAAATGAAAAAAATCAGGCAGACACTGCCTCTTGATATGAGGTACAATATATTATTATTATGTAGAAATGGAAATCATTTACCACTGGTTTGTTGCACTCTCTTGTTCTCTGTAACCTTGTTTTCATGAATTGTTTCCTGGCTTTTATCACAGGAAACAAAAAGAAAATACAATCAAAAGAACTTCCTTACTGTTCATTTCCCTGCTTGCTAATTGCATATACTCAGCAACTTAAAATTTTAGTGAAAACCCTGCCAACTGAAAACCTTTCTCATAACATTATTAATTATCATATTTTAACCCAGTTATATGATTAATTTATAATTTTAATTTTCGTTCATTCAACATTGCTCCCATCATAAACAGTTACCAAATGTTGTACCTTCTTGAGGGAATTCTCGAATTTCATTCACTTTTAAATGTTTTTAACCTTTGTGGATTAAATGATAAAAATTAAACAATTCTTCTGTCCCTCTCACAGAAAGAGAAGGTACCAGAGGTTGCTCAGAGTGTCCGTGGCGATGTCAAAAAGAGGTCAGAATTGTCCAGTAAGCTCCTCGAGGAAGCAAGTAAACTTGAAATGATGGAAGGACGACAGCAGGTGAAAACCAGAACAGAAAAGAGCCCGTTTAACCGTATCAACAACCAAGCTGCAGGTGATGTGGGTGGATTCAGTGGGAACTTCAAGGGGCAGCAATCATCTAGAGGAGGTCAGTTGACTCTCAGTGGTGCCTAGCATCAGTAGGGAGTTTTAGCAACGACGACAGCTACGCTAACGAGAACGGTGAAAAAACAATATGTTTGATTAGGAAAACAACAACTTTGCACGTGCATCACGCTTTTTTGTACATTTCTTTGCCATCACTGCACGACTACGATGTGAAAATGCCTAATTCACGATTTCTGGAGAACGTAAACAAGCGAAGACGAATTTTCCCTTCTCTTTCTAAACTTGAGTCCGGTCCCCAAGAAATCAACTCCAGCGAAATTCGCTTACATTTCACATTTTCAGGGAATTGGAATAAACGCAACAAAGTTTGAAAAAAAGCGAATTCATTTTTAAAAAGACTTTTTCGCTGCTGTCGCCGTCGTCGATGCTAAAGCTCCCTAGTCTTACAGTGCAGCTATTGTCAACGGGGCCACCAAGACAAAGTTGACTAACTGGATTACAGGAGAATATTAAGTACAGTGGTTTTTTAGCCAATTAGCAAATCATAAGTAAACAGCAAATTACTCGAAGGACAAAATTTAAATATTGATGGCAAATGTTTCAAAGAAAGAAAATTTACCATTAGACAACGTTTTTCTGTCTGAAACTAAAAGAAATATAGTGCCTATGAGACATATTTGTTTGTTACAAACTGTTATTTTGTTATCAAGCAGCTATTTCTTTGCTATCTGTTGACAATGGTGGCCCCAGTTTCAGTGGACTTGCTCTACTCTTTGTTTACTGCAGTGAATGACCAGGGCATTTGTTCTTAGTGTTGCCTTACGTGATTCTCAAAAGAGGTTGCAAAGGTTGAAGGACACTCAAGGTTATTTTTGTGAGTGAATTCTGCTGGCTGGCTGCCATCAGAAAATGCTTTGCTGCAAGTTTGTCTGTGGAAGGTAGAGTAGGGTGTACAGGGTTGAACAGCCCCTTGTGACACCAATCAAATTTTGATCTTTCAGGAGGGCAACAGTGGCAGAATCAAAGAGGAAGAGGGCAGGGTGGTGGGCGTGGCAATCAGATGGGTACACGTGGCAGAGGACAGACGTATGGAGACAGACAGAATAACACACGTGGTGGAATGCAAGGTGGGCGTGGTCGAGGAAACCAGCAGGGAACCCCATATAATTATAACCAGCAGCAATCAGGATCTTACAGAGGCAGCAGAGGCAGAGGCAGAGCTAGAGGAAGAGGAGGCAATAACCAGAATCAGTCATGGAATCAGAACTTCTCTTCTTACAACAATGCACCAAACCAGACATTTGTGGACAGTTCTTACGGTGGTGATAATGATGGTTACCAGTGGGATAATAGTGCACAGGGAGGAGGGTAAGCGCCTTTTAGGTCATTATACTGGAAAAGGCTTTTTAACAATTATTCCTCGAGCCCGAATGGGCTCTGAGTCAATAGCCCATGCCAATTGGCCAAATGGGCTATTGACTCAGAGGCTATGAGGGCGAGAGGAATAATTGTTTTTGTAAAATCTAACTAGTTGATCAAAAATATCGAGAATAAAAAACTTTTAGCTAGTTAAAGCTAGACTTTAATCCTTTTTTGCCGCCAAAAAGCCCGCGCTTTTCGCTACTAGTGGGCTATAACATATAGCCTAGTAGTACCTCAACCAATCAGAATGCAGCATTGATAATAGACCACCAGTTGGATTTTACTAAAATCTTTTATCAAAATAATTCTCTCTACTTATTCTTTAAGGTAATGTATGGACATCAGTCTGGATGTTTGAGTGTGTATTGGTTAATGCATGTGACAATTTTTCTTCACTCATTGCTTAACCATTGTTTTGACATTGCCTTGTATCGTACAGGGAGCGAATGTTGCCACCAGAGGCATTTGGATCCAGATCTCAGCCCCAGGCACAAGGTCAGCAGTTTATCAGCTATGATGAACACTATGATGATTACTATGGCAACCAGAACACTTCCTACGGTGGCTCTAACTATGAGGTACAGTAAATAACACCTTTAATTTGGTGCCCTTTATGAGTTCTAGAAGTCCTGGCTCATAGAGAAAATTGCGCTTGATATTTGTTCAGGAGCTTTAAGGAGACTTTGACAAGATGCTTTGCTCGGCCCCGCTAGCATTAGTGCTATAAATACTGCCGAGGGTAAATAACGGAATTATTGTTATTATTATTTTTCAACTTGGTGTGAAGGCAACCCCCAAAAATGTTTGTTTTTCCTGAATGAGGCCTCTCAATTCATTGTCTTGATGACCTGTGCATGTACAGCTGGTGTATCCACTTTTCCATAGCTGATATCCCCTATGCGTTGCAAAATGTATTACTACTGCTGCTCATTCTTTTTAGTATATTGAGCCATACGCCGACCAGAGCACATATTCCACTCAGAGCGCTAATCAACAACGTTTTCAGCCACCTGCTCACACACCAAGTGCCAATGTTGGCAGCAGTGTAGGCAGTGATAGTGGTGGAGTTTCCGGAAAAAGTAACGTCAGCCTTCTGCAGGGAGCAATAGCAGATTTGGTGAGTTAAATATTAAAATAGCTTTCTCTTCGTGAAGTACCAAATACGCGATGAGTGAAAATAGGAAATAGCTTCAATAGAGTTTTATCAAAATTCTAACAATTTCCCTTGTCTTGCCTTCTCCGCGAGGGAAATTGTTAGAGTTTTGACAAAGCGCAGGTGAGACACTGGCGGACTGTATTTCCTAATTTCACCAGTATACCATTTGATTAGCTTAATAATGTTAATACTAGTAATAGCCGAGGTTACAGAGGTGCGAGTGACATTGCTCGAAGGTAAAAACCCTTTAGCTCTAACGCTGCGCTTTGCGTTAGTTTCACGTGATAGATGCTCGAAATGCGATGATGCTCGAAACTAAATTGTTGCATGCGTCCCGTAGGACGCAAAGATCGATTGATTGATCGGAAGACTTTTTTTTAGAATATCCTGTTTGGGTGATTTCTGTGGCTGTTCTTGTGGCTGTTGTTAAACGACGCTTATTTCTTTTAGGGCGCTTTCCATTCACCAAAAATTCCGGTTTGAAATTTCGGAAACTTCACGTGCTAAATGGAACGGTACATTCCGGTTGCACAGACCCGACCCAAACCACCGCGCGTTTTGTTATCGTGGCTTTGCAGCAGACAAGCAGACTCAAAATTACACTCTAAAAGAGAAGAGTAAATACTGCTTATATCCTAAAGAACACTCAACTGTCGAAAAGGGGCGGTGGAAAACTAAAGGCGAAGGAATCCTATTTCGTGTAGAAAGCCTATGAATGCAAGTTAAGGTAAAAAATTCTCGTGAATTGTAGCGATTCGTTTGTCGGAATATTGGAACGATTCGAAGCAATTCCCGGAACTGTGCGATAAATAAATTCGGTGTTTTGGCCAGATTTGTATTCAGCCATAATATCTTGGACAGGTTTCAGACAAATAATACGCTGATTCTCACGGACTTTATACACACACTTTTTTCACCTACGTGTCGTGTTGCATCATTTATTTGTCTCGGTTGATGGCAAATATCAAAAGTCGAAAAAAATTGCAACTGATTCAAACCATTTGAGATGTCTTGGCTTTACTCACAGTCCTTCACTTTCCATTGGAAACTACTTGTTCTTGTAAGCAGGATACAAAAGAGCGCTACTGGGGACAACAATTTTGGCAAATGGAAAGGGACATTTCGGTCCGACTGACCGAAATGACCAGACCGGTCACTGATGACCACCTTCAAAGCTGGTCCCGAATATTCCGGTCGGACCAAACCGAAATGGTCCGTTCCTTTTGATGAACCAACCGAAATTTCCGGAATTTGGGGTTGAATGGAAAGCGCCCTTAGTCTTTGTTGTGCTTTACAATGGAAGGAGTATATTTTTATTTCAGTATACCGTAATACACAGTTATGGAATCTGTCTTCAGATTAACTGTGTGGTTACAAAAGACCTAGTGAATCATTGTTTTTTTTTAACTGGGACTCAATGTTTCTGGACTGGGACTCGTGATTTTTCACAAGATGAGTTCCAGGACTCACCAGCGGATTTGATATTACGTGTGTTATCCAGTTAGGAAAAGGGGAATGTTAATCAGTAGCTTATTCATGTTATTTTATTGCAAGAAGTGCACATGTGGCTAAAGAAGAATGATGACCTAAAAGGCCGAGTTTTAGCAGCTCTCAGTTCTGTTGGGAGCCTGCGATGGACAGAATGCCTGAAGCGATTTACTAAATAACACTGACTTCTGAAAGCCAAGAATGTGTGGTATCTAGAAAATTTGAAGTAAATGCCCTGATAGCATACCCGGATCAGTTGATGAAGGGACCTTACTTATTGTGCCTAAAATCTACATAATGTATGGATTAAAATCAACGTGGATCTCTCCAAGAGATAATTACTCATTGATTTCCTTTTATGTTTGCCTTTTGTGTGTGTTTATTGTTTAGGGAAAGCTTGTTAGCAGTGAAGAGGATGCTTCAATGGCCTTGCAAGTGTCCAACGCCCTAACGCAAGCATTGCTACAGTTTCGTATGAACAATCTTAGTAAAGAGGTATGTACAGAGCGGGTTTCACTGGTTTCAGTTGCGCGAAAAGAAATATCGAGTTTCATTAAGACATATACAGTGGAAGCTCCAGGGGTACCCAACGAGAATATAGTTCAAAACCACTTAAACATAGCATTGTTGAATGTATGTTAGTATTTAAACGGTAGATATAGGCATATTTTTCTCCCCTAAAAAATTTTCATCTGTTCGGATTTCCTAGCTGAAAGTCTAGTGATCCGAAAATAACAGGGATCAAAACTTACCTTTTCGAAAATTTCAGCCAGAAAAAAGGCTGCCGAAAATTCTAGGTGACCTTTTTAGGGTAAAAAACTGTTAAAAATGAGCAATTATACCATTTTTTAGATGTTCGAAAATCCTAGGAGAGGCAGACAAGCAAGAAATTTTACAACAAATGTTCCGAAAATTGTAGATCTCAAATCGTCTTCCGAACAGATATTTTCCGAAAATTGAGGCTGGGTGCCTCTGGAAGCTCTCATTAGCCGCCACCTTGGAAATTCCGCTGGTCGTAACTAGAGCTGGCCGCTTACGAGAACAACAACAACGTCAATTTTATTGCACCAATAGTAAAAACAGAGTTAGAATAAGATTATAACAAGCTAATAATAATTTAATTGTGGTACTGGCTGTCTGGAATAACCACAGGGCTAAAAAGACCAGACAGCCGATGAGCTCTCGTAAGCGACCGAGTGGTAAGAGAAAAGAGGGTGGTCGAATAAAGAGCTTGAAAAACTCATTAATAATCACAAAGAAACAACAAAAGAAATCAGTATTAAATTAGTGTCTTTATATCTGATAAAGACACGTCTAAAATTTACGTCCGATATATTTTGTAGAACATTAGCGCAGTGTGCAGTTTCATTAAAGTGTTGATTTATACGAATAAGAGTGGTCCCGTACGAGAACTTAAAAATATAGGAGAAGTCCAGTTGGGTAATCCCAAAAGTGGTCGCGGTCGCTTACGAGAGATTTTCATTACAAAGCTTAAATCAAAGTTCCAACGGGGTTTCACAAAGGTGGTCGAAACTTGAGCTGGTCGCTTACGCGGGTGGTCGTGAGGAGACTTGGACTGTATTACACTGCTTTCTCAGTGTCCTTAACTCTTAAGTCAATTACCCAACCAGCCAGAAGCAATTGCAGAATCAACTTTGGAACAGTGTGCATCAGTTTTCCCGCGCTTCGCATGGCGACATGTAGTCTCTCCGTATCAGAGATTCAGAAATATTTCGACTCTTTGGGTCTGACATAGCGTAAGGTTTTGTATTCTTCAGCACCATAGACTTGCATTGGGTATGTTTTATATCACTCCTCTCTTAGAACCTCGGTAAGGTCTGAAATAGAGTTGGGAAAAACACACATTTTGGCCTGAAGTCAAGTTTCACAAAGCGTTCCGCACACCCCTTCTCGAATTTTCCATAAGTATCTCTCCTCCCCCACCGAGACAACAGACATAAACATTATAAATTCCACCATTTTTGGCTTGTTTTATTCACAGGGCGACACCAGTACTGCTGCGAGCACTGCAACACACATGGACGCAGGACCATAAATTTGTAAGTGGGACACAGCGTTTTTCAGGGCGTTTGATAGTGTTGCCTTTACGTTCAGTCTTTCGCGCCATTTTTTCCACTTAAATTTTTTGCCATACGGCCTTAAGAATTTTCAACAGTTTTAGTAGCTCTTCTGATTTACTGGAGGTGTTACAACACTTTTTCATTTAATACGGCTGTAATGGTACCAAATATAAACCTGATGATTTTCAATAAAGCCGCAGTAACTATGTTTATAATGGTCTCAGCGCTTATTTTGTTTATTTACTGGTTTGGTTGATCAAGTATCCCTTTTTGTGAAAATGATAATAAAAATTTTTCATACATTTAAATGTAAGAAAAAGATTTAACACTTAAAAGATCGTCGCGGTTATTACAGGATTGATAGCTCGGTGAAAAGAAGACTGCACCGGTATCGCAGAGGTCCGAATTCTGTTTAAGCCTGAGGACCCAGTTGTTCCAACGCCGGTTAGCGCTAACCCGGGGTTAATTTTAACCCTGGTTTCTTTTTTCTTTTTATCAAAAGCACTCTCTCGGATAATTTTCTCTGTTCTTTTTAGAGTATCCAATCATCAATTGCAAATTGTAGTTAAAGGGAATTAAAGTGAATTTGCTTTTTAAGCTCTTATATCTGAGTTCAAATTTCGCACTAATCCCGGGTCATCTTAACCCAGCTTCGAACAACCCGGCCCAGATTTTAGTACGTAACTCTGATGATCTTTTATATATTAAATTTCCCTTTTTCTCCACAGACAGACAGAGAAGAAGAAGAAGAAGAGGTTATAGATGAATTTCAGCTGATGAAAGCGATTTTAACTGGACAGACGAAAGAAAACTGTTTTATCGTGATAATAAGGATAATTCATTTTAAGTTAACAAAAACGTGTAATTTTATTTAGATTTTAACAGAAATAAGTACACTTGTTACGCTTGGAACCACTAACACATTGATTAGCTGGTTTGTACAAAGTTTTCCTTTGAAGACTAATAAAACTGGTAAGATGTGTTGTTGCAGCTTCACACCAAGCAAAATACCACGGTGAGATATAAAAGCGCCGGATATACACAAAGAAGTACTTGATGTGGAAAAAAATGTCTGAGCTTCGCAATAATTCCGACTGTTGTATTATAAAGTCGAATCTCCCGTAAGCGACCACCCAAAATGCGAAGACTTAGTGGTCTCTTACGGGGGGGTGGTCCCTTTAGTTACGAGAATCGAACCACTGGGGTTTCTTCCGAGAAATCTGTACACAATCATCTACTTTAAGGAAAAGAGATTTATTTCATGCAATTTCCAAGTAACGATATGTATAGTTCCATGTTGTTACTAAGGATCTTCGTATAGCCTGCGAGCAAGCTCTCCTATTTGGGCGAGTGAAGCGAGTCTCGCGAGAACGCGCGAGCGAGCGGCGAAGCCGCCAGGGGCAGAGGACACTCCTTTCCTCGGCCCCTCGCTCGTGCGTTCTCGCGAGGCTCGCTTCGCTCGCCCAAACAGGAGAGCTTGCTCGCGGGCTAGTCTTCGTATATTTCAAGTAGGATAGTACACACACAGACCATAAGAGATCAGACAATTTCGTCAAGTGGTCGCTTACAAGAGGTTAAAAACAATTGAAAATCGTTAAAGAGAGCATAATCGCAGACCGGTAAATAGGGCACCGGAAGTAGCGTTTAGTGGTTTCCGCGCGCTTTCCTGTCGTCAATTAACGTTCCCGTTCTGTTGCTAAATCAGCCTACTATCTTTTCAAGATGTGGTAAGACGGCATATGTGCCCCCCCCGGGTAATGCTTCATTCAAGCATGGTTATTGGCTATCTTTAAGCACGCTTTGTAGAAAACCCGGTAAAAAATCACAGATGATAACAACAGTGCTACATTTTATGTTTGAACTCGTGTGCACAATCTTTTGTTTTTGGGGATCCAAACCTCTCACTCGCTACCTTAAATTGCCGCCTCCCCAGACTTTTTCCTTGGCTTCCTCCCTTGAGTCTCGATTTAGCCCTTGTAGTTTGCGAAATATCAAGTATCTAATATACGCCTTTACGAAGCATTTTACATTAGAAAGTGCAAGCCTACACTCAGTTCCGGGGAGGAATGAAGTGAGACATTCCATCATTAGAGCGTTATTGCGGAGCTCTGACAAGCGAAGCGCGCCTACGGAGCACCATTGCTAAGTAAATCTACCCATCCCAGAAAATTTGGTAATCACGTGACCGTACACCGCCGGCCCGTCCGTCCGCACTACAGGGCAACCAACGTTCAATCTCACACTTTCTAGCTAGTTTGGGAGCACAGGAAGACTTATATTGCACACCATCCTCGGAGACCCAGGGACAGATAGTGGGGGCGAGGGAAAGTCTAAACGGGCGGAAAAATATGGCACAAAAGAAAAGTAAAGAACGGCCGTTCTTTACTTTTTTTCGTGCCTTATTTTTCCGCCCGTTTAGACTTTCACTCGCCCCCACTATCTGCCCCTGGATCTCCGAGGATGATTGCACACATATTGCACATCAATGTTGTGATCAATTGACAGCTGTCAAAACAGGGTATCCGCTGACCAGTATCACCTGACCGTATCGCGGGCTAAGGTGTTGACCCATCGAGGTCGAGTATCTTTTTGAAGTTATCCACTGACAAGTTACTAGTTTTTAAAGGATCGCAGGCTCAAGTTTAATTTTTCTTAATACATGTGAAATATGTTGCGATGTGAAGTATATGAAATAATTCATTTTTTTTTTCATTTTTGTTGTGTTTTATATGTGTTTTTTATGTTGTGTTTTATATGTGCCGCACAGTTAAAGTTTTAATTTCAAACTGACCTCGGAAGCTAAAATTCAGCCAGTTTTTACAGGCACCAAGGTCACGCGTTGGTCGTGAGAACCGGCTAGCCGTATAGGTGCTTTTGGAATTTTTTTTTAACGGTTTCGCTAAAAGCCCACGCGTGCTTCGATCGTCCTGAATATTGAATGAGTGGAATTTGTATTGCAAAATCGTGAAATACTGCATACTGCACCGAGGTCTGTATGATAAAAACAGCGCCTCATGGTACTGTTTCATGTCAGATGTGATGTATAAAAAGTATAAAAGGTTGGTTTCACGTCCCCAGGCTTGTTGGCAAGATTTTGTAAAGTAAACTTGTCGAACGCAAAAAATTCGGCCTGATATGTTTTCCAGGCCTAATCTCAGTACTGTGATCAAGAGCCATTATAGCTCTTAATTAAATGTGATCGAAGATGTTTGCTATTTTTTGGGTGTACATATAAAGCTATCAACTCGATGTAAGATTAAGTTCACTCTTAGATGGACTGTCTGCAAATTATTTTTCTCTAAAATCACTTAGCCTTTCCCTCAAAAGTCACATGAATGTGCTCTAAAGTTAACTGATTTGTGGAATACAAGTTTATTGTTTGATTTAAATTATAAATTCTAGTTAATAAGAGCTTCGCTTTTAGCCCTGGCTAAATCTATATATTATGAAAAAAATAGAGTAACAGTTCAAGCATTTTCCTAAGCTAGTAGCATGCTCCTGGAAAATACAGCACTGTTTTTGAACTTAATTATCGTTTTTTTACTCACTTAACATTTGATTTCCTGAGAAATCATGAAAATTTTGTGTTGCATCTAACGATTTTCCACTAAATTTAATATACAACAACAACAACAACAATTTATTAAGGTATTTCCATATCTATACATGGCATTACCTATCTAATACTTATGAATAAAGTACAAATATATCATTTATAAATATATGGCAAAATAAAAAGATTATATTCTTTTCTGAAATAACATATCATGTCTGTAACGCATACATTCAAAAACAAAAGCAGCAATTGATCTACAAACAGAGGGATCTATACTATTAAAGAGAAATAAAAGTTTTGAAGTCACATCTAAGTCCTTGAAAAGTGTATATCTATCAGATATTTCACTGAAGAATTTTAAACGTAAATTGTCATAAAGTTTGCAGAAGAATAGAAAATGAAGTTCATTTTCAACTTCATTCGTCTGACATAGATAACATATTCTTAAATTTTCGGGAGTTTTAGGTACTGTGTGTCTGCCTGTTTCAATATGTAATCGATGATTTCCTAGTCGAAATTTATTGAGTGAGGTTTTGTGAAGTGGATTTTTAATCATATTTAAGAATTCTGCTTTTTTATTATCGTTCTTAAAGGTAGTATAAAAATTCAATTTTCTATTTGTTTTAAGGAGGGTAAGTTGATGCTCAGTTAGAGCATTATTGATGTTTTGCTTGATGTAAGAGGTGAAGACTTTTTCGTTGTTTTCATTCAATGTTATGGCGGTTGCGTTGTACTTGCTACATATAGTTTTTATTTTCTGCATCAAACCTGGCTGGTTGTTATCGGCCATTTCCTGGGAGAGTTGTAGACATTGTTTTGCTATGTTTTTATCTGGCATATTTTGTAAATGAATCCAAAATTTAATAATTGAGGTATCTATAGTTAATTTCAGCGGTAATCTACCTAGTTCATTTCTAGCAGCGACGTTTGGACATTGTTTATTTACGCCTAAGGACTGTTTGCAAAAATATATATGCGTTTTTTCAATTATGTCTTTTTCCCAGGCGTTAAAATCATCTTTAGTATATATGCCCCAGATTTCAGATCCATATAAAAGAATGGGGAGGAAAAGCGAATTGATGAGTTTATTGGTTATGTCAATTGGTAGTTTCAAGAAATCAAGGTAGCGTCGTATCGCAAAAAACGATCGTCGTGTTTTTTCTTTTAAGTTTATTTTACACACATTGAAGTTCCCATTTGTAGCTAAATTGATACCGAGGTATGTATAATTGTTAACAATTTCTATTTTGTCATTGTTTATCTTAAAACAATATTTGTTAAGGACTGATTTTCTACATTTCTTTTGAAAAATCAGAACTTTAGTTTTCTTTGAATTAACAGATAGCAACCATTTGTTACAATATTCAGCGAGCACAGAAAGCGCTTTTTGAAGTCTTATGAACAGTTTTATTAATAACAAAGGCGATGATGTCTACAATTATGATTATGATTATCATAAGGGCATTGTAACTATGCAATAAGGAACAAAAAACTGACATATGCATACATAGTGAATGCACACTTTAACTTTAAATTGCCTTAAGAATAGTTTCTTTCATCAAACCAGCATATCTCTGGGCCATGGTTTCACTTGTTATGTTGCTGTAATATACAACTGTCCAGAACAGTTGATCATTAAATGTGATAATACTGTTGGCAAATATGCTTCCTTGTTGGTGTTCAGCAGTGCAGCCAAAGCTGGCTCTTATAATGACGTCATCATCAGGAGATCCATGTAGAAATTTACAGTTACCTAGGTTATTGTAGACAATCAAGTTCTTGGAACGTCCTCCGTGCTCGTCGTCTTTATTTGTTGATTTAAAAAGGCGACTCAACATTGGAGCCATGTAATCAAACATTAGTGCAATTTTCATGTGCTCATTCTTTTTCAGTTTAGCATGGATATCATTGGATATACTCTTTGCCATACACCAGAATTTGACAATATCAGGTGATCTGATAAAAGAGTTTTTACATGAAATGAAACCTAAGTATGGCCTTGCATATTCATTTGGTACTCTGTATTTGAAGAATGGTCTGGCATTCACTGTTATCATGCATTCTATTTCAAACTCATTCTCATCTAGCAAAGTTGCCATGGCAACACCACCTGCTGCCTGAATTGCACCTTGTACAGTTGTCTGATGTTCTTTGCACTTCTGTAACAAACTTAATGTGTCCTTCTTTGAGAACTCCAAAGGAATAATTTTGGTTCTTGGTTGAATTTCAGGATTCCTTTGCACCTCAATGCCATATTTTTGGGTAAAGACATTTCCCTTTCTGTTCATTCCAAACACTACACCCATCATGAAAACAGGAAAACAGGGTAGCAATGAAAAAATATTCAAAGCTGCCGTCATTAGGCAGTGATACCATTTAGACCGAACAACTTCATGTAGGTATACATGACATGATGGTAGTAATGGCATTGATGACACTTCTGGTTCTTCATTGTTAGATAACCTTTCTACATAGTTAATGAATTCTGCAAACATTCTAGTCAAAGATGGTCCATCTATTATTAAATGATGAAAACCAAATATGCAAATGCACTCGTTGGGGTATGAAGTTGTGTCCCTAATTTCAGTGCCTGGCTTGTACCTTGCATTTGGCAAGAAAATCAGCCTCCAAAGAGGGCCATTTTCTGCATCAAATTTCTCCAACAAACTCTCTTCCATGACATTTCTCCAGTCCCTTGTACCAAGTTGTCGAAAATCAACTTTGTCCATTTCTTGGAAGCAAAAAACTCCATCTTGATCTTTTCTAATGCACATGCGCAGCATGGGATGTCTCTTTCTAAGAAGTATCATTGCATTTTTCACCACAGATTCTTTTATCGGCTTCTTGGAACTTAACACCACAGCACGGGCAACAATAAGTGAGCCATTTACATCATGAGCTATTCTCAAAACATGTTCAGATGACTCAATAGGGTGCCCATTTTCAGAGAAAAACTGCTTTTGGAGCCTTGTTCTCTTAACTGATAGTTTGATCCAGAGTATGGTAAACAATATTCCCGCAACTCCTGCTGCTACTGCCCAGGCAACCATGATGTCTAAAAAGAAGCAATTCTTTCATTAAAGGTCATCAAGATACAATAGGTAAAGAGAAACATGAAACTTAAACTATGGCTATTTGTAACTCAGAAAAAGTTAGATTTGACCCTCTACATATCCCAAGTGGTCATTTGCTTTACAGAATTGCACCTATTGCAACTTGTGGACGGTAAATGCAAATTTGACCCTGCGAGAAGAGGTTTCTGTCTTGCACGGCTTTTTGCGTTTACAAAGTCGTTTGTTTGACATGTCTGTCACGTAGTTAGATATGCGAGAGAAACCTCTGCTCACAGGGTATGCAAATTTGAATGTCAAGCAGATATCTCCCTTTATTTGTAGGTGGAAATTGGTGAAAATTCTTGATTGGTTAATTGGAGACAAAAGAAAAACAAAAGATACCAGAAAGATCAAGCTATGCAGTCTTGAAGTTTTTTTTGCATGGGTACTTAATTCAGTTACAGCATTTCTCATAACTTTCCTCCATTAATTAAAAAACGTTGGAATGAAAAGTCTGAAGCAAAGCTTAAAAAATCTTGATAGTAAAAAAATCAGGGTGCCCAAAAAGGCAAACATCTGAGAAATCAAAGGCAACATTTTGTCTCCAGCAAAATCCACAGAATGAAGGGTAAACATGATCAAGTGCAATTCATAACCCTTCACATTCACGTTTGTTTTTCTTGCATTCTATATATTCTACTGGCTTAAATCCTTAAAAAATTTATAAAGTCAATGGACAAGAGATGGAAGCTACGCCAACGTATTATTTGGCCGGTAGGTACACCAGTTTGTTAAATTTTGTGGTATCCATAACTTATGTGTTTGCACCAGCTTATGTCCACTGGGTTAGATCTCTTCCGGGTCTGTGAGCTAACCAGTGTATAACTATGGGCTCCAGGGATTATTTAGGTCTCAGCGTTCTAGGTACTTACATTTGTTTAGCTATTTGTTTATTTATGCTTTTCGTTTAATTTCAAAGATAGAGCTACAATGCAAGAGAAAGACTACCCAGCGCCTCTCATGACACTCATGGGCACCACAATTTCCAGAACATTAATTTGGGCATGGCTTAGTGACCACCTAAAGGAATCATACTCTAACACGATATAATGGCATTTGTGTTTTTTTGTATTTACGCATGACCCTAGAGTAATTTTACTTGAATAGTGACCCGTGAAATAGGTAGTAGAATACTACCCACTATTATGCACTAATTCTATTGTCTTCTTTTGTTTACCTCTCACTATTTTGCCCTATTTGTTAGTATCTGTTTTATCTCTCTAAGCATAACCTTTATGAGCAAAATTATTGGCTTCCTGTCCTAAACACCTAATTAATAAGTGAGATGACAAGCATCCCCATCATAATGATATGGGAGTCCCACCCAACACTCCCCTCCCCCAACCGGACCAGGCTAACAGCAGCTTGGAAATAGCTCTATTAAGCGAAATACAGCAAAATACACAAATCAGACACAAAGTTGGTCATTTTTGTTTCGATGTTTTTTGAAAGACGAAAATTTAAGTTGTATTTTATTTATTTATTTATGAACACCATAGGCATAAGGCTGTGTATACAATACACCTCTATTAAGCGGACATGGACATTAATATAAATTGTCTATTTGGCTAATTTTTAGTTGACACTGGGAACTGAATTGACAATAGTAATATTGGATTATGTCCTTGAAATACATACTGTAGCCGAAAAATAAAGATAAATCAATACATTTAGCTGTCAATAAACTGTAGTTAGACCAATATCTGGCCGTATGATTGTCAGGAGCAATCAAAGTTCACCTGTAAGTCTTGCACAAAGTACAGTACAGCTTCCTTAACAATGTGATGGAACTTTATCATAGTTAATCGTTAACAAACATTGTGCAATTTTTACAAACCTCCATTAAGCGGACACTTGGGAAGGGCCCCGAAGGTGTCTGCTTAATAGAGGTTGCACTGTATCCGGTTTTGGATGTGATCCATATATTCCACCTCTGTTGTGGATCATTTGGATCAATAATCCATTTTTTGGATTTTAGTGAAGAAAGAAATGTTTGTTTTCGAATTAAAAATCCAGATTTGGATTTTAGTCAAGAAGTGCACTTTGGAGTAGATTTTGGTCATGTGCTAAGCAACGAAGTAGTCCATAGGGTCAGCTCCTCAGGTTTCACCAAGGATGTTCATTTTCTGCAATTCGCGACACATATAGTATGGAAAAATATCTTTCAAGTTTTTCTTCTTGAAAAATTCTATTTAAATAACGTTTCTGTTATTACAGTTTATCGACTTCAAAATGCAATCAAGGTAATTTGTGAGGTTACTCTCAGGTCTTGTGATAGTGTGGGCAGGCAATGTCACACAAACATCAAAAGTCTTATGGAAATCTTCTTCAACAGAACCAGAAATTAAAGAAAATGAAAAACTTGTTGGTTTTCAGCCAGATATTTATTTTACTGGGACTAGCTAATAACATGATAGTAACGAAGCATAAGGTATAATCCAATGTAATTCGAAGCTGGAAGACAGTAAAAAAGTATTTCATTTATTGTAACTGCCATGATCACATAACCTGTCTTAGTGACTTTCCCGTTCAAAGTATATTATTTGTTAATATTGCTTGTAAAGGCTTTATTTGTGCTGTTTCCAAGTGCTGAAAACAACTACACCTTCAATTTCAAACCATCTGAACTGGGCGTTCGTTTGATCGACAAAGCAATTTGACAGTCCGCCATACTATGAATTGTTTGCTGACTGTACTAGGCCACCCTTGGAGGTGGTACACAATAATATTGTGTATTATGAAGTTATTAGGTCTAACCATTGACAGCTCCCTATCTTTTAAAGCCCATATTAAATCTGTATGTAATAAGGTTAATGTTAAAGTTAGTGCTCTTCGGAGAGTTCGTACATTCATACCTTCAGAAGTGATGGTTAATATTTACAATGCCTTTATTTTGCCACACCTAGAGTACTGTGCTCCAGTTTTAGTTGGGTTATCATCTGGTCTTTCTAATAAACTGGAGCTTACTAATCAATATGCTATTAGAACTCTTTTGAACATGGCTTAGTCAACCTCATATAGTCACCTACTTACCTATGTTGGACTAAAGACTCTAGAGCATCGTAGATACTCTCGTGCTCTCTCCCTTTTTTACAAATGCTTATACAATATGGGGCCGAATAATATTAAGGAGATGTTCTTATTTCATAATAATGAATATGACCTCAGAGGCTTCTGCAAGCTTAATCAGCCTACCTATAACAGTAGATTCATGCATAGGTCATATCATTACATCACCTCAAGATTATAGAACAATCTGCCTGACTATGTTAGGAGAACTCCATCACTTAACATTTTTTAAGTCAATGCTGGATGAGGTCAATTTGACTACTGGAGTTGAGTGTAGTTGTAACTTTTGTACATAGTTTGGATTCTATATAGCTAGATTTCCTCTTAGTATTATTGATTTTCGTATATTTTTATTTTTATATCTTCGTATATTTTTTAATTTTTATTTTATTTTATTTAATTGTTTATTTATTTATTTTATTTTATTTTATTTTTTCCGTCTTGATATGTCCTGGATTTATAGTAATTTGGCACGTTCACGTTTAAACGCGTCTTGCATTCATCCGTGTAAAGTGGATAAATGAAATACCCACCTACCAAAACCTACCTACGTCTAGTCAAAATTAGTGACCTTAAGATCATGACACCATTTCAGCCTACGGGCAAGGGTAAGCGAACATGTTTACTTCGAAGTTTTGGAGGCAATCTTTTTAATTTAATAATGACGGTTTCCAAATCTTGCTGTTTGAACAAAGACTGATAAACTGTAATAACAAAACAGCAAAGAGCAAAGCGACTTGAGTATTCCCGAGGAGGCAATCTACCTGCATTTACGACTACGTGTACGGCTAATATACCCGTACCCGTACACGTATACACCATTTGTAGTCTCCTTCGCAGCCCCCCAGTTAAAAACTAAAATCTTACTAAAATTAACTAATTACCTAAGATCGTCACTCTGCTGCACTCTGGGGGTCGACCATCTTAAATTTAAGATATGGAGTCGTAAAGTAAAAAGGTCGACCATCTTAAAATTAAGACGTGGGTAAGCTCTTGCTTTTCCATGAGGTGTTTCCCGTCTTGATGTAAGATTTCACAAATGCCTTAAAATAACATCCTCGATTTTTTGGCGTCTTAGTTAAGAAAAACACTCTTACCTTAAGTTTGTGGCATCCAAGAGGCTAGCATCTATCGTTTTATCATTCGATACAGACTTTTCTTCCGTGTCATTGGTTGAAAGCCCACCGCGTGACCTACACAACTACGTAGCCTACGTAAGCCGGCGGGGGGGGGGGGGGGGGGGGGGGGGGGGGGGGGGGGGGAGGGGTAGGGCATTTGACAACCTCGTCCCATTTTTTAAGGGAAAGGCCCTGGGGACGAGGTTGGGCATTTGACTGATCTTGTTCTCCCGGGGGAGGAGATAGTTGACTGCCGACTCGGAAAAAAGACCGAGACCGAACATATGTTTCCCCGCTTCCACGCTTCACGCATACGGTATGAGGGTATATCTATGACAAAATTCAATAACGTAAGAGTGAAAAGGGTTAAGTCAAATCCGAAATATACCGAGTCAAAGTTGGCAAAAAGAAGACCACGCTAAAAGGAAGAAATACTAAGAAAGCCACTATGATATGGGTATCACGCAGAAAAAGGCATAACACTAAAAGGCAACACGCAAAAAGGCATAACACAAAGAGGCAGTACTCAAAGAGGCAACACACAAAAAAGGCATAACGCAAAGAGCCAACACGCAAAAAGGCATCACGCAAAGAGCCAACACGCAAAAAGGCATAACGCAAAAAGGCAGTACGCAAAGAGGCAACACGCAAAAAGGCATCACGAAAAGAGGCATCACGCAAAGAGCCAACACGCAAAAAGGCATCACGCAAAGAGGAAACACGCAAAAAGGCATCACGCAAAAAGGCAGTACGCAAAGAGGCATAACGAGGCATACCATTGCGACTGCATTTCTTTCCCGCTAAAAAACGTAACTGATTCAGTTTTGAGATCGGCACATCTTTGCCAAGATGGCGGACCGGTTTTAGCGGTTCTTCGTGAAGCATTAACAGCAGGGGAAAATTGCCGTCAATCTAAGGATGATCCCAACATATGAGCGATTGACGGCAATTTTCCACTGCTGTTAACGCTGCACGACGAATGGCTAAAACCTGTCCGCCATCTTGGCGAAGATGTGCCGATCTCAAAAGTAAATCAATTAAGTTTTCCAGCCGGAAAGAAATGCAATCGCTGTCAATTCCGTTTTGGACTTGTTGTAATATATCAATCAGGTTACGCTTAAGGTACCGAATAAGCACTTCATGAGGTGAGCAAGATGGAATGTCTCGTTCGAATACCACTTCGGTTTGCTTCCAGTATATACTAAATAATACTGTTTAAGATCCAGGCCTGGATCCTAAGTAAACTTCTCTTCACGTGTTGCCCTTTTGCCAAGTGCCTTTTTTGAGATGCCTTTTTGTGCTATGCCTCTTTGCGTACTGCCTTTTTGCGTGTTGCCTTTTTGCGTGATGCCTTTTGCGTGTTGCCTCTTTGCGTTATTCCTCTTTACGTGTTGCCTTTTAGCGTGATACCTATATGATGGTGGCTTTTTCAGTACTTCTTCTTTTTAGCGTGGTCTTTTTGTTTACCAACTTTGACACGGGACATTTCAGATTTGACTTAAACCTTTTCACTCTTAGGTTATTGAATTTTGTCATAGATATACCCTCATATATTTCAACTTACAAAATGTGGACTTTCTCCTAAAGGTTAATGTATTCTACGCAGTGTAACAAGGATTATGGTTAAAACTTATAATTGCAGCTGTAACAGGAACATGTATCGTCAAATTGACTGGGACTCTGCGACATGTATAACGTATTCTACAGACTACTATCAACGTCTTACTTTACAAAGCTGGTTTACTAACTTAGAACAAACGCCACTGAATCGTAGCCAACAGTTACCAGCGCCGCTCAAACGACTTATTGGCGAGATCAAACTAACTACGAGAGAACAACTGGAGAACTGACAATTTGACTAACAATAGACGACTGTTTAACTGTGACAATAGACGGGTCGAAACGCACCAATCACTGATTACGAGTCTTCATAGCCAATAACATCACGGCTTAACTGACAGACGACCAATAACATCGCGACATAATTGACCAATCAGATCAATAACCAGAGTATAATACCATCAACTAACGTGATACAACTCACTTTGACTC